CATAAAATAAAAAATTTATATCTTTATGTTTGAAGCCTGAAATGTGGCAAAAGGTTGAAAAGTTCAAGGGGGCCGAATACTTTCGCAAGGCACTGTAAGTGTTAAGGATTCATGCTTTTGCTTTTCAAGTTTACAATATTTCTTTTGGCAATACCAGTTTTTCTCAGGCTTTTAAAAGTATCTGGATTCCACATATTTTCATGATTACCCCCTGTCTCACAGTTCCTTTACATGCAAGATGTTCTGCAGTGGAGAGCACAGGCTGCACCAGACCACCCTCTTTTCTTGCTTCTCAATGCGAAGGTAATATTACTTAACACTAATGAATTAAATTTCACTGGTGATTGAAAATACCAAATGTGGAGAGTGTTTTATCAAACAAAATGTTATATAAATTGTTATAAGCATTAATTTTCTGTAGACTTTCTGTAGACATAATAGCAGGAGTCTGCAACTCAGGTGCTGGAGAACCCCAGTCCAACAGTTTTATAGGTCACAGTTAAATTGATCAGTTTAATTATGACAAATTAAGCAAGCTGAGTTTTTAAATTAAGCCATTTAGAAAAATATCAGGGACTGAAATCTGAGCGTCCATCAGCCACAAAGAACCAGAATTCTGTTATTTGAAATTTTAATTTGTCAGAAATGTTCAGGTTTTACCAATCTTTGTATTGGAAATGACTTCCAATAACTTTGCATTGGAAATGTTGAAACAATACACAATACAATTCTGTATATTTGTGTTTGCATATAAATAATACATTTAGAATACATCTCAATAGTATTTTACACAGTGCAAAAGGCATATGCAAGAAACTGCTTTAAATATATGCAAATCACAGGTAGGGATTAGCTTTCATTTCCATAGATCGAGTGTAACACTGTGATATAGGGAAATGTTGATGTAGTTAAAGTATCTTGTCTCCCTTTCTGAACAGGGTGCAGTTGCCAGCACAGCCTCCTGCCTACAGCTGCACAAAAAGGCGGAGCGTGTTGCGGTAGCACTGATGGAGAAAGGGCGACTCAATACGGGTGATCATGTGGCATTAGTCTACCCTCCAGGTATGAGACCACTCCAACCGACAGTGGATCATAAGTAGAATCTCACTTAAAATAAAAAAATAATGGTGGTCAAAAAGTCCTTTTCTTGAGTTTGGGAATAAATGAACAAAGAACTGTCCATAAAAGATTGTTGAAATGCTTAAGACTTAAGAAGAAGCTTTCCAAGGCTTTCAGTTACGTTCTTAAGTGCTTAGTTTATTCATTGAAACTTTTCTTGAAAAAAGAAAAGAGCATCAGTTTACTCTGCATGCAGTGATGAAAATTACTATGATATCATATGTAAAGGTACACACAAATTACAGAAAAATTCCTTTAACTAATCATCAAAGACACTCTGTTTCAATCAAAACAACAATTAAATTATAACATACCCTGTAGTAATCTTTATGGCTCTATTTCATGGACATTTTCTAAATCTACTTTGGCTTTAGTCCAGACCTGTTTATTTTCGTCTTGGTGTCATACCAAGATATGCACGTGGAAATGTAATGACTGCTCCTCTCTCCCTCTGCAGGTATAGATCTCATTGCAACATTCTATGGGTGTCTATATGCGGGCTGTGTGCCAGTCACTGTGAGGCCACCTCACCCACAGAACCTAGCCACTACTTTACCCACAGTCAAGATGATTGTCGAGGTGAGCCAGCTCCTCCACCGACCTCCTCAAAACTGCAGCACACAAACTCCCCAAATGCAAATGAGTGAGGACCGCCTCCCAATGACATTTCCTGAATCAATGAGCTACTAAATACCTGACTACCTAACCTGCCGGCCTACATGATGCAAATAGCCACCTTTCTGTTGAAGCCATTCTTCTGAAAGAGAGAAAGGAAATCTATGAAAGCTGTTAAGCTAATTTTAATAATATTTAGAAAAAATAAAATATTGATTGTAACTTTTTAGATGAACACACTCAAGTTACAATTTAATGATAAAATATAATTTTTACCATATTAATGTTTTTCTATCATCTTCCTCACCATGCTGGAGTTCACACCTATGTGCTGCCTGCAGTCATTAGGGTGGGTGTGGATAATGTGGTGAGCATCTTCTTTGCCAAGGCCAAAAAAGAAGTGGGGGGGAGGGGAATTCTGGCACCGTTGTCATGGTTCCCTACCCAAAGGCAGCTTATTGAAACAAACAAATAAGTTCTGGATCCCGAGATGAAGTTTAAACAGATGAGTTTTATTGCATGCAAAAAAATTAAATTGAAGTATTGTTCGAAGTACCGGTACAAAACGTCCAGTTTATATAGCCCTTTTCTGCCACTTCTGACGTAGCTCATTACCATGGTAATGGGGGGAGGTCACGGTGTTTGGACAGTTCACAGACTTTGGCCAAATGGTCAGTGTTAGGTTTCCTTCCTTGGGAAGGGGGATTTCTAGCTGGCATCTGGAATCCTTATCAGTTATCCCCTTTTCCTGCTATAACTCTAAGCCTGGAATGTCTGGTGTCACAAGATGTCCAGTCCTTGTGCAGAAAGGACTCAGTTAACCCTTTCTACACATGTTATATCTTTCTTCATTCCCCCCTTATAAAATATGGCATACCTCAGTGCTGCCTATTTTTTACACAAACGATGTCAGGGCAGATCTTTCCTTTCTACAGTAGGTGTACAGGCATGCGTTACCATGACATTGTGAGTTCCACTGTTACAACAAGATGTGATTCAAGTCTTTGTACAAGTGATGGTTACAATTATACATATAAACAGTACTAACCCTACAAATAAATATTGTAATAAAGTTCCACCCCAGGACCCAAACACAGACCTCAGCCATGTGGAAATCTATCGTCAGGATCTTGGAATAGCAATATAGACCCAACTCTGATTATCATTTTAGGCTGATAGATATGACAACACCAGGAATGTATTGATACCATATTCCCCAGTAATGCTCCTCAGGCCTAACAAGCACACTGTTGGCCCACCTTAGGAAGCCTCAGACACAGAAACAGTAACAACATCATTCTTTCTGTTCACTCAGTCTCTGGCACGGTGGCTCAGTGACAGTGCGATTTGTGGATCCAGTGATCTCCTGTCACTCAGATGGCTCAGTCGGTAGTCAATAGCACTTGATATGGTCCCTCCCCAGCAGGGTTGCAACGTCTGGCAGGGTATCTGTTCTTCACCCACACCCACTCGCCAGGTATCAGGTCATGTCTTCCCTCTACTGGAGGTCCCCAAGCGTCCAGCACCCATTCATGAGCCCTGTGCACCGCTTCAGTTAACAAACCTACAATTCTGTAATAGAGAATTAGTTAGCAAATTCAACAATCCGTTAGCCAGACTTGGCCCTCCAGGGAGTTTCATTGGTTGCCTGTGATGATTTCAACTGGGCTCAGTCTCACAGTTCTGTTTGATCCAGCCCATGGACTGCACATGACCCACGGTGTTCCTTCAGTCCGATATTTAATCAGTCAGTCTTTCAGAGTTCCATTCGTTCCGCCATCCCTGCAGACTGCGGGTGCTGGGGGCACCTCACCCCCAGTTAGGCGATTACAGCCTGACACACCTTCCCAGTGTAGTATGCCCCTAGATCAGTATCCAGTCTGCACCATGGGATTATCTTTGTCATCAAATGTTTGTGAGTTACAGAGGTAGAGGCCTCAGCCCACCAGGAGAAGAGTCCAATGTTCCCTTTACATATTGGCAAGCTACAATAGTCAATTCGCCAGTACATGACAGGTCCCTCAGGGTCTGGCCTTCTGAGCCATCGCACCCGCATCTGAGCTGCAGTTGAGTTCCTTTGCCAAGCATCACATCGAAATACATCAGTGGCTACTGCTTTAAACACAGTCCCTACCCAGTTTCGGGACAACTGGCGCACCTTTTGACTCACACCTGGGTATCTGACGGCATGAATTTGTCGGGCTACAACATGGCATTAGGCTGTGATGGCATACAGGGCATCTGGTGTGCTGGCAGCACCACACCCCATCATCATGCAGCCCCACATTCTTTTCACATTCTTTTCTAACTATGTCTATTAGAGGCCTCAACCTGAATACTCCCTTTTTCACCAACAGAGGTTTCACAGGGGTCTCAGACTCTTGCTCTACCAGGGCCGCTCGCCTGGCATCTGCATCTGCACAGTTGTTCTTTTGAGTTACTGGAATTATTTCTTTATTGTGTTATTTACACTTTACCACAGCTACTTCAGTCAGTAGCTGCAAAAGCTTCTAATCAGTTCAGAGACAAACCCAGTATTCTTAACTGGAGTCCCTGCCATGGTGAGGGAATCCTATTTCTCTAAAGCCATCCAGAATTGTGGCATACATACACCAACTACATACAGTATATAAATATAAATTGTTTATGTTTTCCTTTAGCATATTTACAATCTTCAGTCAGTGCTCTAAACTGGCTTGTTGCGCTGAGGCAGTGGAGGGGGCATTTTTCCGGTCATTAGCACATCAAATTCTATGGTAACAGCTTAGCCTGTTCTCTGTTCTCCCTCATGCACCAGAGAGGACGCATTAGTATAAAGTATTATATCTTCTTAAATCTTCACGGTCCCCCACCCTTTGGCTACAGCATCTAATGATCCTGAATAGTATCCCACCGGGGTACCTACCTCCATGCCCCTGCATCAGCACAGCTGCCCAGAACCCATTTTCCACACTTACATACAAAGGAATGGTTGATCCATCTGAGGAAACCCCAGTCTCAGCACCTGTTAAAGAGCTTGTTTCAAATTATTACAGGCAGCTTTTGCTGCTGGAACCAAGGCAATCTTATCCTTGGACTGCACTCCCCCCTTAAGCAGATCTCTTTAGAGTTGTGCTCATCCCATAAAAACATTCCACCCAGGCCCTGTTAAAATGACACAATCCCAGACACACAAAGCCTTATCATAACTGCTTAATATTAGAAACTCTAAAACCTGAAGCAGCTCAGACTTGTGGGATTCCTCGTCAGGGGAAGCACTCAGAATATCATCGACATACTGAATGATCACAGAAGTCAGTGACGCCACGTGATACACTGTTCTGTATAGTCATTACTTGTAATGCTGCATAACATCCCAGCCCAATAGATCTGGGATGGAACCACCCACATTCGGGTGATAAATGCACATCATTGTTAAAATCTGGTACTCAGCAAGTAAAACTCGCTGCCCCAAAACTCTTGTGGCCTCCTGCCGTCTCCCCATATATACAGATGCAGCCATTCAAAATGCGCAGGCGATACCGCATTATTTTCCGGTACGCTGTACGCAGTCTACCGAGAGTTACTGGTAAATACCGCTAGTTACTGTAAATTCTCCTATAATACCGCAAGCAAAATAATA